TCGCTCAGCGGGCCCTGAGGTGTCAGGGAGGCCCGTGGGGGATCCTTCTCCGACCAGGCGCGCCGGGCCGCCCCTGCGAGAGGCGCTTAGGGCCATGTTTGCTCCCGCGGGGGTCAGCTCTCAGCCTCCAACCGAAAACGCGAACATGAGGCGCCCACCGCCGCCGCCTCCTGAGGTACCCGCTGCCGCCGCCCCTAAGTAAGGTGCTGCCGCGCGCCCCTTCTCCGGGGCACTCACCGTTTTCGCGTGGCTATGCCGCGACTCTTGGGGGCGGGGGAACCAGGGGAAGCGTCTGCTCACAGCGTCATCGGGCAGCGCCGCCGCCGCCACCACGTGAAAGGCAGTCATGGCGCTGAGCCGCGGCGGGGCGGTGGCTGCTTTCCCGCTGGTTCCGCGGCGCTTGACGGCCACCGGGGCGGCGGAGGGCGCGGCGCCCCCCCCTGAGAACGTGGTGCGCGTCCCCTGGGCCCTGCGGGTGCGGCTGCAGCGGGCCGCGCAGCGCCGTGAGCGCAAGCAAGGAGAGGCGGCGGCGCCGCCAACCGGGAAGCTGCTGCTGCGGAGCCGGCGGCCAGAGCTGAGCCAGCCCCGCTGGCAGACGGTGGGGCGCTGGGAGCAACCGCAGCTGGTGTCGGCAGGCTGGAAGCACAGGAAGGCCTGCGGGGACTACTTTCAGCTGGAGCCCTCACAGGCGGCGGCTCCGGCCCTGCAGGCGCCGCCGCCTGATGCGGGGCAGGGCCCGTCCTTTGAGGAGATGGGGTTGCAGCCGGCGCTGCTAGCCGGCCTGGGAGGCCTCTCCATCAGCCGTCCCACGGCGGTGCAGCGCATCACCATCCCCGCGCTGCGCCGCGGTAGGAGCGCCCTCTGCGCCGCCGAGACCGGCAGCGGGAAGACTCTGGCCTACCTGCTGCCGCTGCTGGACGGGCTGCTCTCCCGCCCCCCGGCGCTGGAGGTGGAGGCGGCGGGGCCGCCGGCGCCCCGCGGGCTGGTGGTGCTGCCGTCGCGGGAGCTGGCGCTGCAGGTGGGCGCGGTGGCGGCGGTGCTCTGCCGGCCGGCAGGGCTACATGTGCGCGGGCTCACAGGCGGAGGCGCGGCGGGCGGGCTGCGGAGGCAGCTGCGGGCCCCGCCGCCGGGCCCCGCTGTGCTGCTGGGCACCCCCGGGGCGCTGCGGGAGGCGCTGCGGCGGCGCTTCCTGGCTTTGGAGCGGCTGCGCTGGATGGTGCTGGACGAGGCGGACACCCTGATGGATGACTCCTTCGCGGGGATCCTGGAGGAGATCCTGGCACACGCGCCCCTGGCCGTTGGTGCGCCCGGGCCAAGTGGCCCGGGGGAAGAGAGGACCCAGGTGGTGGTGGTTGGAGCCACATTCCCCACGGGGCTGAGCCAGACGCTGGGGAAGTTCACCGATGTGGGCCAGTTTGTCACCCTTGCCACCCAGAGCCTGCACCGCCTGCCACCCCATGTCCATCAAAAGTTTGTCCGCATCAAAGGTCAGGACAAGCTGCCTGAACTGCTGCAGCTCCTCAAGGACCACCCAGCGTCCAGTGGGGCTATTATTATCTTCTGTAAAAGTGCCAGCACTGTCAACTGGCTGGGTTATATCCTGGATGACCACAAAATCAAGCACCTGAGGTTGCAGGGACAGATGTCAGCAGCTGCTAGAGCTGACATCTTTGCCTTATTCCAGAAGGGTGACGTGTCTATCCTTGTCTGCACTGACCTTGCCTCACGCGGGCTGGACACCAGCAGTGTGCAGCTAGTGGTCAACTATGACTTCCCAGACACCCTGCAGGACTACCTGCACCGCGTGGGGCGAGTTGGACGGGTTGGAAGCAAGACACCTGGAGCTGTGGTTAGTTTTGTCACCCATCGGTGGGATGTGGACCTGGTGCGGAAAATAGAGACTGCAGCCCGGAAAAGGACAGGTCTCCCAGGCATGGACTCCTCTATTAATAAATCTTCACCTAACAGGGGTTGATTCAGATTGCCAAGCAGTAATATATGGCCTAAGTGTGAAGTCATTAAGGCAGAGCAAATGAGCTTCTGTGTGTAAGTTAGACTGGAAGAATAGAGGATTGAGTTCCCGAACCAGGTGACCAGGTTAACTCTGTGCAGTGTTCTTTAAGCTGCAGTAGTCATGTCCAGAGGCATCACAGTTCATAGCTTTCCAAAAGGAAGTTTGTGAGTAGTAACATAATGCCTTTGAAGAAGACTGAAGAATTATCAGTTGACTTTGTTTATTTTTGTTTAGACTTCTAACTTGAATCCATATCAGAATGAAAGCATGCCTGTATGATGTGCAGCTCTCTTGTGTTTCATTGCTTCCTACCACCAGCAGCTAAACGTTCATTGTTAAAGCTTTAAAATTACTACTGTGGCAGGAAAGAAAATGAAAATATTTCACTAACTCAAGCGATTATAGGTACATGTAGAAAGACTAAAGGACAAATTGTATCTGATTTTCTTGTGATGTAGCAGTTCATCCAGAGAATTCTAGACCAGATAATTCTTTATCTTATTTGGTGGGAACAAGAAGGCACAATAAAGCATGAGGCTTTTTCAGGGTCTTAATTTGGCATTTTATAGTCACCTTTCACTGAGAAATGGGATCTTGCTGCTTTGTGTTCTGTTAAATAAATTTTTTAAAAGCCTTTAAGTATTTTCTGCACATTGTTTCTGCATGCTGTGATGACATGTCCAGACTAAACTGATTGTAAAAACAAAAGAAACCACCCAACACACCAAAAATAAAAAAAAAAATCTCCTGTTAAAGGAAGGAAGTCAGGTTCTAATTCTAACTCACAGGTTCTAATGGCTCACCTGTAACAGAGTGAGTGTAAGATTTCTTTTGAGTACCTTGCCATTGTTCTTTTTTGCTTTAAACCAAAAGGAGGTTATTTTGTATCTGGCTGCTAGTTTGTATCCATGGTAAATAATCACACAAACCCAGCGTTTTAGCTCTGATTTCTGTTTCAGTGATTTGTCGTAGCTTTTTCTTTTAATGGTTGTTTTTCCCATGCTGTCCACTTCAGCCTGTATTAAGCTCAGTATGTAGAAATAGTAAGCTGGTAAAAGAACACAGAACAGTATCTATATATCTGATAGTAGAGGAAATCATGTTCTGGAGCTACTTGTAGTATTCTGAGTAAAAACTAACAAACAGAAAGCTTGCAATCAGTTAAGAATAAGGCTGTATAACCTAGAAATTGTACCCATGTACTCTGCTCACATTGCACAGTTAAGGGGCTCTTAGGGGAAGTTGCAAGCTGTGGTAAAATTATTTCATATAATAGAAAACTTTCAATTAGAAATGCAGTGGAAGAGCAATTCTCTCGGAGACTGGAAATCTTTGTATTTTGGACCATTCATTGTGTAGACTACTTGTGTCTCCTCTGTAGATCATTCAGCTGCAATTCAGGCAGCTTTTGTGTCCACAAGCAGAAGCTTACTGTTCATGTGTAACAGTAGGGCAAAAACTTGAACAGAAATCTGGAGAAAATCTGGTATTGTAATTTCAAGATCATATTTCCATTCATTAATATGCATCTTACGTTGTAGCAGGTTCTCTGAACTGCTGAGAAATAGCTTTCTTTAACTGTAGGCATACATATTAATTTAAGTGAGGTAAATTGTATTTGAGAAACTCCAAGTAAGAAATTTTAATATTTGCTTGTCTGCTTTGCCCAAGAAATTTCAGGCTGGCTCCATCTCAAGCATCATATAATTTGAATCTCATAGTTTTCAAGCTTCAGTACTTCACTGTATTAGAATAAATTACTACCTGCTTCATAGAGTGTCTTTCCTGAGGCAGCTGGTGATGGTGACTGCTTCCCAGAATAAGACGGAGATGCCCTCGTAAGTTTCTGAGGAAAGTTGTTGCTTGGGATCTCAAATGTCTGACTTTAAGTATTTGTCTTCTGATAGTTGTTATATTGAACTCTATCAGTCAGTTGTTCTGGTTAAGATTTCCTAACTGTTGCAGATTGTGTTACAATGAATTGTGTTACAGTGAATCCCATGACAGGTCAGTCTGGATTGTAGCGCACTGTATAATCAAATTAGACAACACAGTGAAATAATAAAGTCCTTTTACCCATATGCGTCTTAATTTTGAAGTAATATGCACTTTATGTATTTACAAACAGGAACCTTGAACTTGAACTTGATCCCAACAATGTTTAACCCAAGCATTGCTATGGTACCCTTAATCACAACACATCAGAACAAGTCACAACACATCATGTCACAACACATCACAACAAATATTCCTAGCAAAAAACCCCAAAACTTTTGACATGTATATACTAAAGTAGCCAATTAAAAGCTTTAGATAAACATACTCAAAGAACACTATGTTTAACAATAAAGCCTTTTGTAAACATTGCTTTCAAGTAGACGTTGCTTTCAAGCAAAACTACTGTTCTTTTAAGCATATTTTGAGAAATGCCGCTGGGACTGTTGCTCACAAAGAGACAGTTACTGGAGCCGGGGATAAACGTCAGTACTTTCATTTGGGAGCGCATACACATTCAAAACTTGGGATATGTAAGCTGATACAGAGCTAACAAATGCAGACATGCACATCAGTGACGTGCTGTGTGAAAGTTCTACTACCCAATAGGTAAATGCTATAGCAAAGCCTTCAAAGAGATTTAGAGAACCTGTCAGAGCTAATGAGCTAAAAATGTAGCTTGTGTATGGTCAAACTTGCTTAAGAAACAAAGATGTATTCAAACGTGTTTTAGAGTAATTTTTCTTAAACTTTTTCTTGCTCTTTAAACATCACATCACTTAACTGCTCACATCCTAATGACGGTCTGCATGCATAATTAACTGTTCTTCTCTGTCTGTCCTGTCTTCTGTGGAACTCTTATTTTAGACTACTATGTTACTACTACTATGAATTTTAGACATAACTACAACTACATAGGAGTTCTGTCTTATGGGCAGTACAAGGACATAAAAAAATTTATGTTGCACCTATCAAGGTGCCCTAGGATGAGCTGTGTCAAGTGTCCTAACAGCCACATGGAAAATGCCTCCTACCACTCTGGTAATCTAACAAAATCCATATTTTTGCAGGTTGCACTGCTCCCTGAAATGTACTTGTGTACTTGTTTTCCCCAGACAGCACTCTTTCCCCTCCTCTTCCTCCTGAAATGTATTTGTGAGCCTGATTTACATGTTAGTGGTAGAGTGCATGGTGGAAAAGTTCTCCATACGTACTCTGACCAATTTCTCAGCAGGAACTGGCTGCAGGAAGAGCTTGTGGGTGAGCACTTGCTGGCAGGCCTTGCGGAAATTTTCCGAGAGGAAAGCGTAAATGATGGGGTTGATGCAGGAGTTCCCATAGGCTAGGCAGTGAGAGATGATGCGGAAGGTAAAGGAGATGTTGTTCAGAGGAAACTGCCCAAACTCAGCCCAGTGGCAGCCAGGAGAGCAGGAGCACAGCAACCACAAGCAGCACGGTCTGTGCTGTCTGGAAAAGACAATGTCACAAGTTAAAATGGCTTCAGTGATGAAGAGAGTGTGGGATGAGTGAGTTTGCCTTCCTCTGTCAGTAATGAAGGCAGAATAACACAGGCAACACTGACAACTGCCAGGCGGGCAAATTATGACATTATGAAAAAGGATGTTAAACCCAGTTCTCCTCTGTGGAAAACAAGGATTGCCTTCTTTTGGCTCACGCAAATAAGTCTATAAGTAATGGAGACAGAATAAAATCATAACATTTTAGAATAGTTACAGTTGGAAAGAACCTGAAGATCATCCAGTTCCAACCTCTCTGCCATGGGCTGGGACACTTCACACTAAACCATGTTACCCAAGACTCCATCCAACCTGGCCTTGACCACTGCCAGGGATGGAGCTTTCACAACTTCCCTGGGCAACCTGTTCCAGTGCCTCACCACCCACAAAGAACTTCTTCCTTATATCTTGAATCTTCCCCTGTTTAAGTTTGAACTCATTACGCCTTGTCATACCACCACAGTCCCTGACAAGGAGCCCCTCCCCAGCATCCCTATAGCCCCCCTTCAGATACTGGAAGGCTGCTATGAAGTCTCCACGCAGCCTTCTTTTCTCCAGGCTGAACAGCCCCAACTTTCTCAGCCTGTCTTCATATGGGAGGTGCTCCAGTCCCCTGATCATCCTCATGGCCTCCTCTGGACTTCCTCCAACAGTTCCATGTCCTTTTTATGTTGAGGACACCAGAACTGCACACAGTACTCCAAGTGAGGTCTCACAAGAGCAGAGTAAAGGGGGCAGGATCACCTCCTTCGACCTGCTGGTCATGCTCCTTTTGATGCAGCCCAGGATACAGTTGGCTTTCTGGGCTGTGAGCACACCCTGCCTGCTCATGTTAAGTTTCTCATCAATATAGATAGTGCCCATAAAACCTCAAACATTTCAGAGGCTGCAACTATGTTACATGGGAGAGTGGAAATAATAATCCATAGGATTTGGAGGCTGAGGAATATTAAGGCTATTGAAAGTAACTGTGGGGGAAAAATTGCCTGACATATAAACTGACAAAGCATATTCACATGTGAATAACAAACTCTGATCCCAAATGCCCTCAGACTGGCCATGCTGGGAATCAGATGCTGTCCTTGTGGTGGTATGATTAGAAGCTGATGGAACTGAAAGACAGATATAGTGGCCTTGTGGGGTCTAACTTGTCTACTCTGTTATGAAAGGTTCTAAACAAATTAATAAACAGTTTCTACCCTTAGAACTGTGCTTAGTTACCTTTAGCACAGTAATAATGGTGCTACTTGATTACCCTCCAGCAGTGTTAAGTAGCTTAGGCTTGTTACCATGACATGGCATCCTGTGCTTAAATTAGGGGCTGCAAGCACTGAAATATTCTTTTGAATAAGGGATGTATGCGTATATTCTTGTCTCCCTTTATTGTGAAATAACAAACCACATATTTAACATAGAGCTGCATATTAAAAAATGGATTTGCAGTTGCTATGTATTAGCACAAATCTTTTTCTGAGGTCCATCTACTTGGGATCTTGCAGGTACAAAACATAGACAATACTAGAGCAATGATGTACATAATTCATGACTCAAGAAACTTGTTTTGGAAATGCAACTTCTGTATTTTCAAGTTGGGGAATATCTAGTTAAGACAGAGGAAACTGAAATAAAATCTGTTTGGCTTTTAGTCTGATAACTTTGTAGCTAAACCTAACCTTAGTACCAGCTGTGAAGGACTGACCCAAACAGTTTGTGTAGTGTTTGAGAGTGTTCAGTGGGCTGTGGTAATTAGCACAGTTAATGGGTTACTGTTGGTCTAGCTGTGCCCACTTAGTACCAGTCTTCTGGTTCACCTCCAAAGGTTCAGTGGGTCCGTAGTAGACATGTACAATGGCCACTACTGGATTATCTAACTCACTTTTTATACCTCTAGAAGTGCTTCAAGCAGATCATGAAGTAACTTAGAGCATTATTTTTGAATCTATAGCATCGTGGGAAATGAAGACTAGGAGAATCCTAAATATTTTTGTTTCTCAAATAAACTTCTCTCTTATTGCCCTCCCCCTCGCCCCCACCCGTTGTATCTGCCTTGTACAGATTGTCCAGAATTTACCTGCTTATTCTTTTGATATCTCTACAGGTGATCTGACTCTCATTTATGCTTTCCTGCTTTTGTCTTTTTTTCCCTTTCCCAAGGTAGAGAGCTTGTCACTTTCCTGACCTAGTCACAGTTTGAGACCCTTAGCTGCACGTCTTTTTTCAGAGCTGATAAGACCATCCATTTGTACTGTGTACCTCAGCCACACAGAAACAGGAAAGAACATTAAGTGCATTCTTGCTAACTTGCAGAAAAACTGTGCTTCATTAGTGAGACAACTGCTGTTTTCTGAATGTGGTAGTTTTTTTCTCTGTTTGTTTTCCTTCTATGATTCTGAAAGAAGAAGCATAAAGAAGCCTATGCCTGTTCTTCCACACTGTCTTACCAGCAAATATCAACTGACTCTTCCTTTATTACTGCTCTGTGGGAGGATGGAGGATGTAATAAACTTGGTTTGGACTTCGGTTCATCCTTCCCCTTGTTAGTAATAGGTGAAATTGTGCGTTGAAACAATAGTACAAAGAGAAAAGATGATTATATTTGAAAATCTGTTAATCAGTAGAGGGTTTCTTTTGTATTAAGAACAAGTTGAAATTCTGCTATTGTGTATCTTAGTTACTTTATAACTAAATATTACAATGGTAGCTATAATGATAAGCAATTAACATAGCCATATATGGGGAAGTGTATATGGGTGGATTTAGGGGAGTATTGTGAAACTCTACCGAAGCAGAACTCACGAAGGTACCAGGAGTAGTCAAGTGAAAATAAGAGAATGCTGGTGTCCACATAATGGTCGGAACATGTCCAAGGAACAAAAAGTGAACAGGACGACCTGAGGAAGATTTCATACTGCATCTGAGGAAGACTCCTTACTTCATCAAGACGACCACCAGAGGGGGGCTGCGCAAGCGCAGAAGAGGCTGATGTTGTAATAGACTGATGTGGCAATCCTTGATGCATATGTATTAGTCAATGATGTAATCTGTGTTGAATATGTATTAATGACGACAGACATTTTTAGTGTATAAATTGCGAGCGCGATGTAACGGGGTTGAAGCCAGATTTGGGTGTGTACCCCTGGTTTCCCAGTGCTGCAATAAAGCACCTCATAAAACCCTTCCGGTGGTTATGTGTCAGTTCTTACGCTAACACCCTTACTCCCCAAAACTAGTTGCAGTTAATAATATTCTGCAGTGACTCCAAAAGCAGACTTACTCTAGCTAGTCCTATTTCTTCACACCATACCATACCTTACTGTACCGTACCACACCACACCACACCACACCACACCTCACCATACCGTACTCCTCAGCCTTTGTGTGTGGGCTGGGAGTTCTCTTGACTTTGAATACAAAGTCTGGTGATGTGATTTACTGGTAAGTTATTTTTTTGTGTTATGTTAATCTCTAACTTGTATCTCTGTTTCCCTAATGTGTAAGAGATAATTTGTGAGTATATTCAGCCTGGAGTCAGTATGTTCAGCCTGGAGAAGAGAAGGCTGCGTGGACACCTCATAGCAGCCTTCCAGTATCTGAAGGGGGGCTATAGGGATGTGGGGATGGACTCTTCATTAGGGACTGTAGTGAAAGGACAAGGGGTAACGGCTTAAAACTTAAACAGGGGTAGTTTAGATTGGATATAAGGAGGAAATTCTTTCCCGTTAGGGTGGTGAGGCACTGGAATGGGTTGCCCAGGGAGGTTGTGAATGCTCCATCCCTGGCAGTGCTCAAGGCCAGGTTGGACGAGGCCTTGGGTGACTTGCTTTAGTGTGAGGTGTTCCTGCCCATGGCAGGGGTGTTGGAACTAGATGATCTTAAGGTCCTTTCCCACCTTAACTATTCTATGATTGTATGATTCTATATGAGTTGAGGAAGAAAACAGCTTCATAGAGAGAGGTGTGCTTAGAATTGGCCATTACAATTCTGGGGCAAGATCTTGGACTTATGGTAATTTTATGGACAGCTTGGTTCTCAACTAATAGCTTAATTTTTTTTTTAATTATTTAATTTAATTAATTTTTTTTAAGTAATAAAATAAGAAAAATAAAATTGTAGGAATTATTAGGAAAGGAATAGAGCACAAAACAAGAGACACTGCTCTCCCACCAGATAAGCATGGTTCATCTTTCTATTGTAGCTAAACAATAGAAAAGGGTAGTAGTAATTTATTAGCTTTAAATGGCTCAGATGGTCTGTTAATTGGGGTTTTTGGCCTCAAGGTTCCACAACTCCTAGTGTCCTTTCAAGGGAGCTTGCAAAATATCTGTGAAATTCACATCCCCAGAAACATTCTTAAACTTGAAAAAGCATTTCCGATTGTTCAGTTTGCAAGTCTTGTTATTTGTTCTTTAAAGAAGTAAAGGACAAAACTGAGTAAACATTGAGAAACTCTGATGAGCTCCAGAGGTCAGTAAAACACCACAGGGCAATTTCATGATCAGAGTAGACCTTGGTTTGCATCAATTTCCATTGTTAAATCATCTTATTTACTGCAAATGTGCGTTCAGAGTTCCTAGGGCTGGGCTTTTCTGAAACACTTTTCAGCACTGTCACACAGGCAATTGTTAGCTTTCCTTGGAGCTAAATTAGAGACTTTCTGTACTCTGCCTAATGCAGAAAGGAAATAACAGAACTGAAATACACTTTGCTTGTGTTACAGGGGTCCACAGAATTTCTTAGCATCTGGTGTTGCTGTCTGGCCTTAGGAAATGGTTATCCAAAACTTCAAGGAGGAATCCTGCAGCATCGCACCATGTCAGTTTTAAGGCTGACAAACCTGCACCACTAGTGTGGTATTAAATGTGGAAACAGACAGTCATGTATCTATTCTGCAAGTACAGTCTTAGTTCACCATGCAGAATTTCAGTCTAAGCTTGCAAAAATTCCTAAAATTCTTCCTTTATCTAATTCACAAATATTACTTCTGAATGGAAAAAAAAAATCAAATTGAGCATGTCCAATGCTGACATGACAAGCATATATATAAATTTGCAAAGTAGGAATCTGAATTAAAGGTGAAGCTCTTTTAAGAATGGAAAATGAAGTCAGGATGCAACCAATTTTGTGCAAGGGAAATTTTTGCAAATTTTCAAGTGTGCATAAGTTGAGAAAGCTGCTGCAGTTTGAAAATAATCATGCTGTAACATAAAAGCTTACAAATCACAGCCCAAGCATATGCTGTATGTGCCTGGAAGATTGTATGTCATCTTTAGGATTCTGTTAAAGACAAATTTGGTTTTTTTTTTCAGAAGTATTTGAACACTGACTTGGAAGGGGAAGCTGTCAGAGCTCTCTGGGTTATTAATAAACCTGGCCCATTCAATGAAAATATGTTTGTAGTTAACTTTATAATAATGTATCCAACATTGTCCAAATGTTGGGCAAAGCCTTAGAGAACAGGGCCCTCCTGTAATATCTACGGAGATACAATATGTATCTAGTCCCTACATAGCTTCAACTAACACAAACATTCAGTACAATATTGTGTCAAATTGGACAATGATAGGCAGCAGAAAGGTGCCAAATAATGGAAGGGAAGAGAAAGGTGATTTGAAGGCATCAGACACACAATGAAATCCACATTGGAACCCCAGATATATCTTGTGGTAATATTGTCTTCATGACAGCACTGTCTTCAGATCCTGCTTAAGTGAAGCCTGCCATTTAAGACTTACTTAGAGAAGATGCTTCATATACCAGTATGCAGTGGAAACTTCTATCTCTTAAAAACAAACAAACAAACAAACAAAAAACCGCAACACAATAACAAAAGAACCCCAAACCCACAAACTAAATGTCCTGGGTTCAGCAGTAGCAGTCATGTTTCTCCTTTGTGGTAGCTGGTGCAGTGCTGTGTTTTGACTTCCAGCCTGGGAACAGTGCTGGTGATATCGATGTTTTCTGTTGTTGCTAAGTGATGTTTACCCTGACCAAGGACTTTGTGAGGCTCGTGCTCTGCCAGGGAGGAGGGGAAGCCGTGAGGAAGCAGAGATGGGGCGCCTGACCCGGGCTAGCCAAGGAGGTATTCCATACCACAGCACGTCATGCCCGGGGTGGGGGGTAACTGGGAGTTACCCGGAAGGAGAGGGGCTTCTGGGTGGGACTTGTTTCTTGGCCGGTGGTATCGTATTCTCTTCCCTTGTTATTTTCTGTTATCATTGCTGTCGTTGGTGGTAGCGGTGGTGATTTGTGTTGTACATTGGTTACTGGACTGTTCTTGTCTCAACCCGTGGGAGCTGCACCCTTTCGATCCTCCTCCCCGTTCCTCCGGGAGTGGGGAAGGGGAGAGCCCCGGGGGGGGGGGGGGTGGGCCTTGATTGTTGTCAGCCCGGCACCACTCACTGGGAGTGAGTGAACAAGTTGCCTGACTGGGTTTAAACCACAACACTAAACAAACAAAAAACCAAACAGACCAAACCCAAATCCCCTTCCCTTAGGGATGGGAGGACGATTATAAGTCAGGTGTGCTATCTTGAAACTGTATGAATAAAGTAGAAACTGAGCAGTTATAGCTCCAGACTGTAGTCTTTTGTACCAGTATGACACTTTGTTTTCCCTATCAGTACGGTCAAGATGCATGCTGTGAATTAACAGGTATGAATCAGGTGATTTTATCACCTCATATTGGAAGACTGCTGTTGTGTTGCAATTTCTTTTGATAGATCAAGGCAATTTAGGTTTAGCCACTGAAGCCACACATGTATTTCAGAACAAGCAAGATGTCTGGTATATGCTGACATACACAGTGATCTAGATTTACAGGCTAGTAAATAAATTAATGGACCAAACGTTTTCAAAAGTGTTTCTGTGTTTCAAAACATCTGTAGTTTGTTGCAGCTGTGGTACCAGTGTCTGTCTCTTTTTCTGGAGTCACGTCAAAGTTTTGATTTCTGTGTCTTGCACACCTTTTTCAGTCAAATGGCCCTGTTTGCTGTAATGGCCTTCATTTATATCATAAATGGAATCACAACAATATTGTGTAGGGATGCCCTTGTGTGGTAGGTAGCCCTGAAACAGGCCAGTGCATCAACTGAGACAAATCAAGGTTTTCTCTAGTCATCTCCACTGGTTGTCCCATCTGCTCAGAGGCACACACACTGCTAATTTGGGTTGTACAGCTGCTGCATCACTGGCATAGACTGTGACCGGACTGCACTGTCAGCATCTAACGGTACTTCACCACTTCCTGTCTTTGACTAGTCAGATAGCCCACAGTTTCACTTATCAACGTACACTCAATAATTAAAACATTTCTGACTGAAATAGCATTTTTCACTTTCATGTCAGGTCAATCTGATGTTGCATCGCTGAAGCCAGTGAGTTTTGCTGCCTGAAGGCTTCTATTAATTATGGCTTATCCAGTCTAAGATTTTTTTTTTTTTTTTTTGGCAGGGGGCAACTGTCATTAATATTTTCCCCAGTAAATGCTTGCAGCTCTGCTTATTTCATGCAGCTTGAACCAGGGATAATCTTGTTCTTTGGCTTGCAGAGGGATCAACCCAGGATCTAGGTTCTTGCAAACCTTAAAAAAGATCTTACATGCAAACAGCAGCAAAAGTACTTCAGAGCTCTTCAAGTGTTTTCCTTTTAGCTTGCTAAGGTGTCCTCAAAACACCTAAATATTTTTATAGTCCAAGTATCTTACTGGCTGACAGTGTAAAAAATATAGTAATTGTAGGATTCTATTATAGCACAATAAATCAAAAGGCATGTATACAGAGATCAATACAGCATTTCAATAATGGCAACATAATGTACTGTGTCTATAAAGATATAATAAACTGTCAACATGAATTCTAAACCTGAGATGAAAGACTGGTACATGAATGACATTTCAGTATGCGTATGGAGCTTGAAAAGGCTATTAGTTATTTTAGAAACCTCATATATCTATTATATTATAGTCAGTGTACAGATTAAACCAAAGATATTTACCTTCCTCTTTGATCTCTCTGACTTCTTGGAAATGTTTACTTTTGTATGGAGATGATACAGAACCTTGGGGGGAAAAAAGGAGTAATGTACTGAATGGGAAATTGAATTGTGTGGACTAGTATTTGAACTTCTCATACAAGCACCAAAAATTAAAATGTTTTAGCATGACTTCAACCAGAGTTGAATTTGATGTTTTAAGACTTTTAATTCTAAGCTCTGCACAGTTCTTTCTCCTTCAAGAAACAAGGCTTGTCAAAAGCTTTGAAATTGCTGTGCTTCCAGAAGATATAGTTCAGCATATAATAAGAGCTCCATCAGCACTATGCTGAAATCCAGAGAAGTCTTTCCATGGATTTTGAATTTTAGATTGTGCCTGAGATTATCTACATTTATTGTCTAGGCTGATTATACACACAGGCAGAGAGCAGGCTGCCAATAGTGTACCCTGGTATGACTGTCCTGAATGCAGCACTAACAAATGGGGCAGGCAGTTGGAGTTGGTTCTCATTTCAGAGAGAGAATTATAAGAAATGTTAAAGCACTGTAGGGAAATGCTCAGTTAACAACATCTAGATCAGCTTTTGAAATCTGATTACAGCACAGCAGTAACCTGGCAATTCTCTGGCCTTTGAAGCTAAGAAACTAAATTTTCCAAAGCAATTATTATTAAATGCGGCTTACCTTTCAGTTGATGCTGTGCTGACCTAGGGCAGTGAGGGGACAAACAGCTGGAGCTACAGTGAGTTAAGAGCTCTAGTGGCTTTTTCCTTTTGTGGCAAGCAAAGCCTAAGGTTTAGGGATTTTTAGCTTAAACCTAAGTGTGTTTTCCTGCTATCATCTGCGCTAATGATAGCAGAACACATTAGTATGGAAAGTAATGTTTTTTTTTTATTAAATAGGAAAACATTTTGTTTCCAAGAGGGTAGACCTGCCACTGACTACTGACAAGGAAGTTCAGTCCTTGGCACTCCACAACAGTGTATTAATTCAGAGTTCACAGAATAGTTATTCTGCACGCTAGCACAACTCGCAGACTTAAGCACAGTAAAGATCAGTAAGGGGAAACAAAAACTTTGAGCTATAGCAATCCACAAGAAGAAAGGAAGAGACTTTTTGCTGAATAAAACCAATTCTAAGATCTTTTTTGCAAGGCACAGTGTCTGAGCTCTGTGTCAAAAAAAAAAAAGGAAAGGAAGAAAGAAATTGGGGTGATGTCTTTAATATTGTTTCTGTACACTCTGTGCCATTGCTTCTTTCTCCATTAATTTTATCTCCTGCTGGGAACAAACATTGGTTATCAAGAAAGAACAAACTGAAAAATAGGAAAACCAGCAAGTCTTTACAGGATTTGGGTGTCAGGCTGGGTGTCAACTTAGCAGCTGTAATTCTTTTTGTGAGCTGGTATAATTTCATTTTGTTTTCTTTCCCTTCCCCTGCCTCAAAATATTCTATACTGGAAAGAATATGGAAAGGATTGTACCTATTGTTTGCTGGCTGGGCAGCTTGAGTGTACACATCCAAGCCACCAAAGGTGTGGGAGTGACCTTTCCCTCCAGTTAAACATTACTCCCATCCCTCTCACCCACCTTGGCATGGCAGAAGGTGATGAGCACCAGGGGCAGGAGGTACCCCACCAACAGGATGGTGACCTTGTACATCTGCTTGGCTGTTGAACCATTTGCCCAATGCTCCCAGCAGAAGGAGCTGTTGGGTGCTTGCTGATGACCACTCACGAGGGCCTGGTGCTCGGCCACAGGGATGGCAATGATTAGAGACAGCAGCCAAATGACAGCCACACCAAGGGCAGCGTTGTGTTTGCTGCGGATGCAGTGTGAACTCTTGGCGTGGACCACAGCAATGTACCTGTCCATGGACATATCCACCAGCGTAAAGATGCTGACCAGCATTGTTGCCATAGCCAAGTAGTGAACCCATTTGCAAAAGAAGGCACCGAAGATCCACTCTGGCAGGGAGTAGATGGTGGCCTGGAAGGGGACACAGAACAGCAGAAAGGAGAAGTCTGCAATGCTCAAGTTCAGGATGAAGATGTTGGTAACGCTGCACAATGGGCGTCTTCTAGGCCAGAAATGTTCCAAAACAACCAACACCAATGTGTTTCCCACTATTCCCAGGAGGAAAATCAATCCAAAAAGCACTGGTACAATCACCACTTCTGGGCCACCTCTGGTTGCTCCTGACCAGCATGTTGGAGTCCCTGTTTGGTTAGTGTCAAGGCTGCATTTGCTGGTGCTGGTTCCGAGGGAAAGTACAAAGATGTCTTCTTGCTCCTCCATGTAGCTAGGCTGCTTAGAAGGCAGTGAGCAGTCACTGTAGCCCTGGCTGCTACCAGGCAGGTCTGTTTGTTAGTGGTGGCGAGAGGCTGAATGCTTGGGTTTTGCAGTGCTCTGTGTTTTGTCTTTGGGGAGCATTTTTCTTCAGATGATTCTTGCGTGCTTTGTCTCCAGTGCAAATTCTTCCAGAAGCTGGCAAAAAAGGGGGTAGAGGAATTTGTGTCATCCAAGAGGTAACTGCAGGTTTAGCAGCTGGTGCTGGAGAAGCTCATGTGGCAGAGAAGCCCGTGCCTGAAGGACTGAGGATGAGGCTGCCCTGAGAGCTTGGAGCAGAGGCAAAGAGGCTGCATCTCGGTTCCTTTATGCCCCTCCTCTTCTGCTTCCCTCCCACAGCAGTCCCTGGATCTGTGTCTGTCATACCTGCTTCCCAGCCCATCTCAGAGCTGAGGCAGGGAGAGCAAATGCTGTCTGTGACCTGAGCCCTTCAGAAAGTAACCCTTCATCAGCTCTATCCCCACATATTACTACTCCCAAGAAGAGGAAGAGCAGAACAAAAGCAAGTTCTCATCCAAAGGGATGGGTCAAGCAGCAGCTACTGGGCAATAATGTGCATTTCTGTGAGGAGCAGCTTTGGAAATGGCTGCATGTTTTTTATCAATAGAGCAGGATTTTTTTGTTGTTGTTTCATATGCTTTAATGTGCTCACATGAGAGCATAAAGCAATCTGAATAGCTGTGTTTTCAGCATAAAAACCTGGGAGAGCTTTAGATTCAGCAGCTGGCTCCTGCCACTTCTTGAATATCTGCCCAAATTCCTTAGTGCCTGAATATTCATGGAACTTGTTGATCCAGCTGTAAAGAAGTTCCAGATTCAGCCCAGAAGGGCCAATAGCATCTGCTCTGTAAAAGGAAAGGTTCAGTCCTCGTAGCTGTGACCAGTTGTAATATCCCCTGTGGAGGAAGAGAGATACAGGTTAAAAAAAAGGAAAAAAAAAAAGAAGTCTTATTAAGGATTAATGTCTTAGTTATTGTTGGGTTTTATGCTTACCTATATAAACAGTATGTATGTTTTAGAATGCACTAATTGATTTGGTTTTAAGAACCTGTTTCCTCATATTTCTCAAGGGATCCTGTGAACTCTAAAGGCAGTAAAAGGAAGAACAAAGTTTAGGCAAACATTAGCAGTACATGCACACAGTGAATTATGCATGCAGGGCAGAGTACTCATCTCTATTTACAGTGATTACAAGCCTAGGCTCTTGGTCAGGGTGAGCCGCTGCTGGCTCTGTGGATGTGCAACTGAAGAAGCACCTTCATTTTGAAACAAAGTTCAATACTGAGAGTTGCCCTGCCTTGTGGCTTGTTTCTAAGCTCTTGTTGAGAGATGATCATAGAATCATAGAATTACAGAATAGTTAGGGTTGGAAAGGACCTTCAGATCATCCAGTTCCAGCACCTCTGCCATGGGCTGGGACACCTCACACTAAACCATCTCACCCAAGGTTCATCCAACCCGCTCTTGAACACTGCCAGGGATGGAGCATTCACAGCTTCCTTGAGCAACCGGTTCCAGTGCCTCACCACCTGCACAGTAAAGAACTTCTTCCTTGTATCTCGAAACTTCCCCTGTTTTAAGTTTGAAACCATTACCCCTTGTCCTATCACTACAGTCCCTAATGAAGAGTCCCTTCCCAGCACCTCTACAGGCCCCCTTCAGATACTGGAAGGCTGCTCCGAGGTCTCCACTCAGCCTTCTCCATGCTGAACAGCCCCAGTTTTCTCAGCCAGGTGATAGCACTGCTTTCCTTACTCTGCTTCAATATGCCCTTGTTTAAAACCTATTATGAAGCTGAACTCATAATTTCCCTCCATAGTTTTGCTGCTAGCTGTGGGGTGAGGTGGGAAGGGAGTTAAAGGTGCCTGAGCTGCAATGGAGAAACGGGTCTACCCTTCCTGAGAGCTAGCAGATTACTGTGGCCAGAGCTTCTACCTAGATGCCATCTTCACCTGTCTTGGTCTTCTGCAGCCCGGCTGCCTTGAATACCATGGCACAGCACCTCGCACACTAGTAAGTCTTTTTCCCCAGATCTTTGCTGGGATCTCTGCTCTCAGCTTGCTGACCGCTGCTTGCAGTGCAGCACGTTTAAGGCCCCTGCGAGCTCTGGGATTGCGCTGTAGCTTTGAGTGCCATCTACTGGATTTCACCTCCTTTACTGCTTCCAGACAACTGCGGCAGTCCTCGGTCGTTCTTTTCCTCAAAAATTTACTCCAACAGTTCCGTAATTTAACCCAATCTGCTGTTGGTTTCCTCTTATCCTTGTGCATGTACGTACTATTAAATCATGAAACTTAAATATGCTTGCTTTTCCATTCGTGATATGTGACCACTGTAAAGTTACTTCTTGTAGTACTATTCATTTAACTTCATGTAACATTTTAGAGAAGCCTGTTGAAACTGATTTCAATAGCTCTTCCTGCATTTTAGATCTGTTTGGATTTTTTTTTCCCCTTTTCTTTAGTAGGCAGTCATATCAGAAAGTATTATTTAAGAAGCACCTGTAGCAATCACAGCAAATTGAAGTGTGCGTTTTCTTTTTTCAGTGGGCTTCGGCAAAATAACAAAAACTGCTGCATGAGTAGTTTCTGATGCAAGGGATTTGAGACAGTGCATGCAGAAGTTTGAAAAAAAGTATGTTTCACCTGCAGAACAAACGCAGCTTTGCAGATTGAAAAGACTGCATTACACACTAAATGGAAAATGGGCAGAGGACAGCACATTTCTAGCAGTAAGGGAGGAAAGATCATAGGATTATTTAGATTTGTAAAAAAAAGTTTCAAAGATACCCTAAATTCTTACAGAAGGGATATTACCAGATTTCTCCTCCAGCTTCAGAATCCTGGTGAAATTTTTAGTAAAACTTGACTGCTTTAGTTTTATTTTAGGTTTGTTTTGTTTTGTTTTCAGATTTCAATAAGAGTGTTACAACTGGCGCAGTGGGAAGAAAAGTGAATATTCTGGATGGCAAGTGGCAGTGACCAGCTGAATCAAACATCCAGTAAACTGGGCAAAAACTCATCTTGCTTTCACTAGGGAACTCTGATGCTTCAAATGTGACTTCAAATGGAAGGTAGCTGGTGTGGGATTATTGCTGGCTCATCTTACTTGGAGAAAATAATTTCCAGTGGTAATGTACATGCTTTGCTGAAAGCTTACCTGAAACTGTTCTTACTGTGGCATTCAAGAGTTAAAAAAAAAAAAGAGGTAATGATTCCTTCTGTTTCCCTCTTTCTACAACTTCTCAACTGCTTTAAATGGCATGGTTTTGACAGGAGAAATTTTCTGTCCTTGAGGATTCACAGCTAAAATGCATTTGGAAGGGAACTGACCCTGCCAAGACAAAGTACTTGCCACAAGACACATTAATTACTCCAACCAGGAGGTGAAGATCAAATCACCTTACTGAGTGCAGGAGCACAAATAGCAGGTGAACCTGTAATATGTGATTTGCTATGAGCATCCACATTGTGTGTGGTACTTAAAATTTGTGACATTTCACCTGAAAGCCAGAAGCAATTAATGCACTGTGCATAGAGCAACACGAAATATCTCAGCTTTACAATTTCTGCTTCTTAGATGAAGACAGCAAACATTTCCACATAAATAAGAGGATGTAGGGAAAAGAAAGATTCAATTTCTTTTCAACCCCACATAATGCTTTCTCAAAGGAGCTGAAAACTTCATCCCCTAGATACTAAGTTACTTGTCCACCATGCCATAAAACAAGCTGTACATGGTAGTCTTGATTGCGTAGGAGCTATGATGAAGTGCTGCAGTAAGTACAAACATCACAAGGTCAGAAGAAAAAGTAATTGGACTGTTCAAGCTAGGCACTTGCAGGAGGAAACAAGAGGCTCTGAAGTGTGACTTCATTGCTTCAAGAATTTTAGGGTTAAAAAGTAAATATAATGAATAAGTAAATCCTTTTAACATTTGTGAGCTGTAATGTTTGAATTTCTTGGATAGTGGATTGGAACTGAACCTGTATATCTCACTCTGGCCATGAAAATGTCAAACATTTTGTGATACAAAAAGATAAAAGCATCTTTTATGAGGAGTCTGAAATTGTGCTGTACGGGAACTAAACTGGGGTCATAAGGAGCTGATCCCTCTCAGTATGGATCTTGGAGGGCTGGACAGGAATTCGGTAAACAGCTGCCCACTTGGCACAAGTGTGTGTGCACAAGGGAAAGCCTTCAAAGCACAGAAGGGGCTGGGTTAATCAAACAGCTGGCCAAAAGGATGCTCTTGCTGCATAGTGATAACTAAAGTCACAATTACATCAGTCACTTGGTCTCTTCTGAAGAGTTTCAACTTGATCTGAAGCAGTTTATTAGGCTGTAAAACACTTTCCTGATGAAAGGGGTTTAAATTGAACATACCTGAGGAGAGTCATTTTAATTAATGACAACCTCAAGCATAGTTGCTCTGAGCCCTGTGATGTTGCCATTGAGATGGTACAGACAGGATTTAAAATAGATACAGGTTTATTGATTGATTCTTAATCTATTAGATCACTTTGTCTTATGAAAGATAAAAAAAGTACAATCACAGAACTGTTTGGGTGGGCTATTGGCTGGCTTAATGAACTTCTTTGTGTTGCTGAAGTGTTGACTGAGGTATGAGCTTGTTGAGTATAGTGTATAAAGTAACTTTATATGTAACAATGGCAAACCAAAGTATATTCTTAAATGTAAATACAGTCTAAATACTGAAATGGTGACAAACTAAGAAAAAGTGTTTTGTGCTTTCCAAGCCCAGGAAGGGCAAAGGACAGGAAATTTGAGTAAGTGCACTTCTGAACTGAGAGCGCTAATTATCCCTGATTCCTGGAGCTTGTACCACAGTCACTTTTCAAATTGGCTTCTATTGGCCTGCAGTACTTCCTTGCAAACACATAACCTAAAATACGATAAGCTAAACTCTGGAAATGTACTGGTCTGACAGAACATTATATTTCACTTAAAAATTTGCATGGAACTGATCCAAAGTTAATATTCTTCACTTAAATGATTAGACAACCTGTTTCCATAGGTTAAATCATTATAGGTAAAATTCTAACTTATTTGTTGACTGTTAAGCAAAGAAATGGCTGACTTAGTAGAAGGTATGTTGAACTAAGAGAAGTCCTTTAGGTTCCAAGTCCTTCAGTGCTGTATCTGCATGGCTTTCAGGAGCACACTTCTTTCCAGGAGTGTCAGCTCTTGCAAATTCTAGCTTTTATCCATTTTAATGCATTGAGAGGGGGAGCTGGCATACACTATCAGTTTATCTTAACACAGTTTTATGGAACAGTCTCAGTTTTTCAAAGAAACTATTTTGGTTTGCTCAGTAACAGAGTGAAGGTATTGCTGAATTATTTTCTATTCTGTATGTTGAAACATCTTCAGATTATTCTCTAGGAATGACCTATGTAGTTGACGTATTTTGCAGGTGTCTTAGCACATAAATTACGCTAAGAATCAGTCTTCATTCCCTGATGGAATGCCATTAAAATA